GCTGCTTTGCTTGCAACAGGCCGGGCCATCGCAAGAGCGAATGCCCAGAGGAGCTAAGGCGCCGCGGAGCAGAGCAGGGGGGGGAGTCTCGGAGGCAGGGAAACGCCAGCAGTCAGTAGAAGTTGGGCCAACTACCGACGAGACTGCCTGCTCGCCCAACCACACCGACCCTCACCGAGTCACAGTACCGATTCACGCCATCGATCGGGCTCGGATGAATAAGGAGGGTACAGCGACGGATTGCCCAGTACTGATCCACGGGAAAATACAGGGAGCAGCAGTGAAGGTTTTTATCGACGGAGGAGCAAGCCACAGTTTAGTTAATACCGCAACCGCACGAAAACTACAGCTGACACTTAGCCGTTGCTTACCGGAGATAGACGCACGCTTAGTCGACGACACGCCACTAGCCATACGGGAAAAGGTAGAGCGAGTCAAAGTCCGCTGCGGGGGAAATTTCGGATTTACACAGGAAATGCTCGCAACGACACTGGATGGGCACGATATTTTACTGGGACGTGATTGGCTGCGACGGTATAACCCGCGAATTGACTGGACGACGGGTAGCTGCACCGTGCGAAGTAGTGGTAACTGGGTCGTTCTACCTCGCTGGCAGTCGCCCGAGTCTTCAACGGTCCACGTCAACGCCATCACGATGAAACGGGTTGTCGCCGCTGGAGTTGACGTGTACGCAGTAGATATAGCATTAGTGAGAGAAACGGAGCAGCTGAGCGATTTTCAGAAACTGTTGGCAGTAGTACTGCCCGAACTACAGGAACAGTTGAAACGGTACCCGGGGATTTTTCCAGACGACTTACCGGAAGGGCTGCCACCTCAGCGGGCGCATGATCATAGGATCGAGTTAGAACCGGGGGCACAGCCAACTGTACAGCACTAGTTCAGACTGACACAGCCCGAGCTCGATGAACTAAGGAAGCAGTTAGATTATTTGTTAGAAAAGCAGTTTATTCGACCAAGTTAGTCACCGTTCGCTGCACCGATACTATTCACACCGAAAAAGGACGGAGGGTTTGTGAAAGTTTAGAAGAAAGAAGAGGGCTGCACTAGCAAGAATGGGGATACAAATAGGAAACCCTAAAGGGGCTGTACTCGCTATAGAGCACCCCACTACAGGCTAGAGCATAAGATAACATTCTGACACACCCCCATAGCCAAAGTGGGGTGTAATCAGCAGAGCAAGCAAAGCAGTACAAGCTCAGGGTGGATCACAATGTCACCACACATTCTGAGCACAAGTTCAAGAAGCAATAGTTTAAAGTTAACAATTATGAGCAAAGCTAGAGGTAGTCACAACGGGCAAGTGAGGAGGAGAGAGAGTGAGAGGAGAGGAGATAGGAGGCGACGGATGAAGCTGCAGACACACGGGCAACAGGAGGCACACTGGCACAGCGGCTACTGGAACAACGCTCCGGAATACTGGAGTAACTGGCCCCGCGGCTAAAGTAGCGGCAGACGAGCAACGGACCCACGGGCTGTCAGAATATTATGCTCTAGCCTGTAGTGGGGTGCTCTATAGCGAGTACAACCCTTCTAGGGTTTGCTATTTGTATCCTCATTCTTGCTAGTGCACACCTCTCTTTTTGCCTAACTCTCTCTTGCCTAGCTAGGTAAACCCTAGCTATGGCTCCTCACTATACCTACTACTCTCACATGCTATCAGAGCAGTGTCGCTCCTGGCCTGTGGGCCCGCCTGCTTCCGCTGCCCTACTGTCTGTCGCGCGCCCCGTGGCGTGCGATGTACATTTTTTCTTCCCGCCACGCGCTCGGGGCGCGTGGCGGTTTTCTGCCCGCCATGCGCTCGGGACGCGTGGCGGTTTCCGTCAACCCGCGCGCCCGTCCACGTCGACCTTCGCGCGGCTCCCCGTCGCCCTTCGCGGCGGCCCCGTCGACCCACCCGCGGCTCCCCGTCGCCCTTCGCGGCGGCCCCGTCGACCCGCCCGCGGCTCCCCGTCGACCTTCGCGGCGGCCCCGTCAACCCGCGCGCGGATCCCCGTCGCCCTTCGCGGCGGCCCCGTCGACCCGCGCGCTGCCCCCGGGGACCTGTGCACTCGTCCCCGTCGACCCACGCGTCGCCCTCTGCCCCCCCCCCACCCCCCCCCCCCCCCCCCTCTCTGACACACCTGAGTCTGCTTACCGCACACCTGAGTTCGCTTCCCGCACACTTGTGCACTATTCGCGCACACCTGAGGTCGCTTACTGCACACTCAGGGTATGGGGGTGACGGGAATGGGGGTGGCGGGTGTGTGAGCCGTCACCTGCTCCTCCTCCTCCTCCGTCTCCCACTACTGCAGCTGCCGCTGAGGGGGGGTGGGTGTGTGGGAGCCGAAGGAGTGGTGCAAGGGGGGTGCGTGGGAGTGGAGCTAGCGGTGTAGCAGCGGGTGTGTGCCAGGGGGAGTGGGATAGTTTGGGGAAGTTGAATGGAGGTTGCCGTCGTGTCGCCAGCAGCACCTGTATTCCGGGGACTTCGTCCGGTAGCCCAGTCGTAGCCAGCTATGCCAGCCGCCCGTGGGTCCGTTGCTCGTCTGCTGCTACTTTAGCCGCGGGGCCTGTTACTCCTGTATTCCGGGGACTTCGTCCGGTAGCCGCTGTGCTAGTGTGCCTCCTGTTGCCCGTGTGTCTGCAGCTTCAGTCGTCGCCTCCTATCTCCTCTCCTCTTACAGTCTCGCCTCCTCCTCCTCACTTTCCCTCTGCGATAGCCTCTAGCTTTGCTTACATTTGTGAACTTTAAACTGTTGCTTTTTGAACTTGTGCTCAGAATGTGTGGTGACATTGTGATCCACCCTGAGCTTGTTTTGCTTTGCTTGCTCTACTGATTACACCCCACTTTGGCTATGGGGGTGTGTCAGAATATTATGCTCTAGCCTGTAGTGGGGTGCTCTATAGCGAGTACAACCCTTCTAGGGTTTGCTATTTGTATCCTCATTCTTGCTAGTGCACACCTCTCTTTTTGCCTAACTCTCTCTTGCCTAGCTAGGTAAACCCTAGCTATGGCTCCTCACTATACCTACTACTCTCACACGGGCGGCTGGCACAGCTGGCTACGACTGGGCTACCGGACGAAGTCCCCGGAATACAGGTGCTGCTGGCGACACGACGGCAACCTCCATTCAGCTTCCCCAAACTATCCCACTCCCCCTGACACACACCCGCTGCTACACCCCTAGCTCCACTCCCACCCCACCCCCTAGCACCACTCCGTCGAATCCCACACACCCACCCCCCTCAGCGGCAGCTGCAGCAGTGGGAGACAGAGGAGCAGGGGAGACTACACACCCGCCACCCCCCAGGTCGCGGCCCCCGAAGGAGCCGCGACGGGCGATGGGAAAAGGGGGGGGGGGGGGGAGGCGGTACCGTAGGTAGGGCGACGGGGCCGGGCCGTAGGTAGGGCGACGGGGCCGGTACGCAGGTAGGGCAACGAGGCCGGGGCGCAGGTAGGGCGACGGGGCCGGGGCCGAGGTGCAGGTAGGGCAACGGGGCCGCAGGTAGGGCGGCGGGACAACGGGGCCGCAGGTAGGGCGGCGGGGCCGGGGCCAGGGCCGCAGGTAGGGTCGCCCGAGCCGCGCGCAGGCGGCCCGAGCCGCGCGCGGGCCTGGCGCCGCCCATACGGGCCGCGCGCGGGCCTGGCGCAGCCCATACGGGCCGCGCGCTGCCTGTACGGGCCGCGCGCAGGCCAGGCGCAGCCCGTACGGGCCGCGCGCTGCCTGTACGGGCCGCGCGCAGGCCACGACGGGCGACGGGGGGCGACGAACGGGTCCCCGTCGCCCGTCGCGGCGCCTCCCGAGGGCGACGCGACGGTTGACGGGGCCGAAGCCCGCCGCGCGCCTCGGGGCGCACAGCGGGCAGAGAACCGCCGCGCGCCTCGGGGCGCACGGCGGGCAGAAAACCGCCGCGCGCCTCGGGGCGCACGGCGGGAAGAAAACCGCCGCGCGCCTCGGGGCGCACGGCGGGAAGAAAACTGCCACACGCCACGGGGCGTGCGGCACCGAGTGTAGTCGTGGTAGGTGCAGCGGAAGCAAGGAGGTGGTAAGCCCACCCACAGGATCGATCCAAGGGGGATCGACCTGCTCTGATAGCATGTGGAAGTTTAGAAGAAAGAAGAGGGCTGCACTAGCAAGAATGGGGATACAAATAGGAAACCCTAGAAGGGTTGTACTCGCTATAGAGCACCCCACTACAGGCTAGAGCATAAGATAACATTCTGACAGGGTTTCGCATTTGCATCGATTACCGAGCGCTCAACAGGGTAACAGTCAAGTCGAGGTACCCCATTCCCCGCGCCGACGAACTAATCGAACAACTGCGAACAGCACGGGTGTTTTCGAAAATAGACTTACGGGGGGGTTACCATCAGATTCGGGTCGAACCATCGGACTTGTCGGAGTTCTTCCCTTCTCCTTCCTCACTCCTCCCTTGCCCCTGCCTCTTCCCTGACTTCTGTCCTCACCTTCTTCCCTTCCTTCTTATTCTGGCCTTTCCCCACCTTGTGCTGTCCCCACTCCTGTTACCCTGTTCCCTTTTGCGTTCTCAGCCACTACCTGCTGAGAAGTTTACTCTCCCACAAGATGGCTGCCCACAGTGGCTTAGTCACCTAGCTAGCGTAGCCTTGTTGCGGTAACGTTATCCACTATATGAGGCAAACAAGACGAGAGAACAGGTTTGCTATGCTAGGCTAGGCTATTTGTGCTTGGCTGCCCAGTCGCGAGTAACTCAGCGTGCTGGGTTGAGCTCGAGCCGCCTAGGCCTTGGAGTGGCCCTCGCCAGATTGCCTGTCTCCCGAGGTTCCTGAAATTGTCCCCGACGCGCCCTGTAACCCCCGATGCTACCCAACTTCTCGCTACTCTCTATAACCCAACTACCCCACATGCAGATTGAATAACACTCGGTACACCACTTCTACACCTAATTAGGACATGTCTCCAATATGATGCTCTTACCATTATATTTGGTGACAGTTGTCGGAGTTCTTCCCTTCTCCTTCCTCACTCCTCCCTTGCCCCTGCCTCTTCCCTGCCTTCTGTCCTCACCTTCTTCCCTTCCTTCTTATTCTGGCCTTTCCCCACCTTGTGCTGTCCCCATTCCTGTTACCCTGTTCCCTTCTGCGTTCTCAGCCACTACCTGCCCCCTCCTATGCTCGTGCTTGAGCTGCTCGGGCGCGAGTCACAGGACTCTCAGCTGAGGACGGCTGCTCTTCAGTCCTGCCGTGCGGGTCTGGTGGTCCCCGGTCTGTTCTCCCTTCTTCTTCTCCAACACTAGCACTCCCACGCCTCGCACTGCTCGCGCCCTCCCCTTCACTCTTCCCTATTCCACAGCTAGTGTATCCTTCTTTGCCCCTCTCTTCCCGTCCCACCTCTCTAGCCGCCCTTATCCCCTTGCCTTCCTGCTGCTGCCACTGCTCACGGCTGCACGCATCCCTCAACTGCACGGTATGTAGGTCCTCCACCGATACCGGTATCACCTCCTCCAAGTGTCCCGCTGCCTTAGCTTGCTCCCATGCCGCCCGGTTCTCCGCTTCTTCCATTGCATGGTCTGCCTTTTCCCCTGTTGCTAGGGGCTCCCCTGCCCCCACTTCCTCACTCTCCTGCTCTGCTTCCCCCAGCAGCTCTGGCCTTCCTTCCCGCAGCTTCCTCACATGCTGCTCCGCCAGCTTGTTCCCCTGCGCTTGCTCCTCTGCTTGCATCCGATCCTTCATTGTCACGCCAGTCTTTGCCCCTGCCCTGATTTCCCCGAACAACTCCGCTGTCCTTAGCGCTGGCTGCCAACCACTCCCTCCCATGTCTGTACTGCTCAGCTCCTTCTTCCCTCCTTTCTTCACCGCTCCCCCCTTCTCGCCCTTCCCTTCCGCATCTGCTGTCGCTGGTACACACGGCCTTGCCCCCGCCTCTACGTCCCTCTCTTCTACTTCTCGTGCTGCAATTTCGCTCACTCCTGCCCCCACCTGCTCGTCCTTCTCTTCTGCTTCCGCGGCTGCTGGTACGCACGCCCAGGTCCCCTCCCTCGCATTCTTCCCTTCCCCTTCTGTGGCTGCCCATTCCTTCACCTTTTCATTCATCCCTTCAGTGCCTGCTGCTACTAATTCGCACACTCCCGCCTCCTCCTTCTCGTCCTTCTCTTCCCCTTCTGCCAATGCCCATTCCCTCACCTTCTCATTCTTCCCTTCAGTGTCTGCTGCTACAAATTCACACCCTCCCGCCTTCTCCTTCTTGTCCTTCTCTTCCCCTTCTGCCACTGCCCATTCCCTCACCTTCTCATCCTTCTCCTCCTCTCCTGCCACTGCCCATGCCCTCACCTTCGTTGCTTGCTCCCTTCCTCCGTCCCTGCCCCCACTGCGTAGCCCCATGACTGCACTGCAACGAAGCACTGCACCGGCATATTCTGGCTCCTGCTCCTTTTCCTCTTCCTCCTCTTCCTTCCTTACATACAACCCCACCTGCCCCTCTGTTCTTTCTCTGAGCGCCCGCCCTTTCCTTCCGTCTCTGCCCCCACTGCGCAGACCCAGTTCCTCATGGCTACGTAACGCCAGGCATGTGTACTCTGGCTCCTGCCCCTCCTCCTCTTCTGCTCCTTCTTCCCTCACGTACAACCCAGCCTCCTTCTCCTTACTTCCTCCCAGGGCCTGCAACTCCGCCCGCAATTTCCTTATCTGGCTCTCAATCTCCTCTGTTGACCCTTTCCTTCCGCCTGTCCCTTTATCGCAGTCCCTTGCCTCATGCCCCCTTTCCCCGCACTCTTTACATGTCGGTGCCTCCGGACAGTCCCTTCGGCGGTGCCCTGGCTTCCCACATACATCGCGGTTCCTGCAGTGCATCCTTATGTGCCCCGGCTGCCCACAGCGGTAACAAGTGCGTGTCTCTGTCCTTTTCTCCAGCCTGCTCTCTTCTCCTGTTCCCTCCCCTGGTATCATCGCCGCTGCCCAGGTAGGACTCTTCTTCTCTATCGTCCTTGGCAGGTATACCTCGTACTTCCTCTGCGCGAGCTCCACCCGCTCCGCTAACTCGAACACCTCTTCTGGTGTTGCATCTGCTCCTAGCTCATAGACTCTCATTCTCAACCCTCCTGCCAATCCCTTGTCTAAACCGTTCAGAAACTTGCTAATGATCATGCTGCTGTCCGTGCACACCACATCTTCCGCCAGGTCCGTTAACCGTCCGTAGTATGTCAGCAGTGACTCCTCATCCCTTCGCCTAAACTCATGAAATTCCCGAATGCGCACCGCCGTATGCCCAGGGAACTGCTTTCTTAGGCGCTCCAGGAACAGTACCGTTGGGTCCTCGTCATCCTCTTCTGCCCTCCTAAGCCATTCACCAATCTTCATGCGATACAGAGTCTCTGCTTCCCCTCCCAACGTGCTTGGCAGGCTCAGGAAGAACTCGATCGGGTCCATCCCGCTTCTGTCGCATCGGTATTTAACACTGCTGATCTGCATCAAGTAATTTTTCAGACTTGGGCCGGTTTTCTCGTTTCCCGTGAAGCGTACTGGCACCTCCACTCGCGGCTGTGCTGTTGCGCCCCACTTCCCTGTTTCCCAGCTCTCCGTCCCTCCTCGCTCAGACACCATAACCCCTCTCCTCCTCTCCTGTTCTCCCCTGCTGCCTGTGCTGGTTCCGTACAGCACTCGCTCTAATCCTTCCCTAGCCGCTCTTGCTCCCGCAGATCCTTCGCCGTGACGCCCCGGCCTCCTCGGGCCCATCGGGCTAGTGCTCCTCCCTCGCGCATCTTCACGCTCCTCCCAGCGCCTCTTTGCATCTTCCCAACACTTCTCTCCCCTTGCAGGGGACCGCTCCTCGTACCGTCGCCCTCTGTCCTCTCGCTGTCGCTCCTTCTCTACTGCCCTCGAGACTTCTGGTGTCCGCACACCTTCTCTCTTGCCTCGCCAGTCCTCCTCGCGCCTCCACTCCCTTCCTCTTTCCGGTGAGTCCCACCTGTCTCTTTCCTCATAATCTCCACACTCTTCCCAGCCTCGGCGTTCCTGGTCCCGTTTCCCCCTTTCCCTTTTTCTTCCTGCCTCTTCACCCCCTTGGTATCGCTCTCCTTCGCCCCTCCTCTCACGGCTCTCTCTCTCGGGCCACCTTCTTGCTTCTTTGCTTGTTTCCTTTGCAGCCCTTCTCTCTGCCCACAGGTGTTCTTCTGCTTTCTCACGGCGCGCTCCCGCCTGTTCCCTTGAGGCGCTGGGTGGCGATCGTATGCTACCCATGCCTTGCGCCTTCGCCGCTGGCCGCCGCCTCCTTGCTGGCGAGTGCTGAACGCGCTTTCCTTTGTGATCCTTGTCCTCCTCCTCTTCTGACCATTCCAGCGATCTCCCTTCTCCCATCGCCATACGCCTCCTGCCCGTACGGCCTTGTCCTGGCTCGGGCGAATGATACACTCCTGCTGGTGCAGCACGCCTCTTCTCCTCCTCCCCTCGCTCCCTTGACCAGGGCTCAGCTGCTTTGCTCCTGCTGCGCATCGCTTCACTCCCGCGCACCTCCTCTGGCGCGCGTTCTGCCTCCGCGCGATTCCCCTCGCGCCTCGCTTCCTTCCCGCACACCTCCTCTGGTGCGCGATCTGCATCCGCGCGATTCCCCTGGCGCCTCGCTTGACTCCCGCGCACCTCCTCTGGCGCGCGATCTGCATCCGCGCGATTCCCCTGGCGCCTCGCTTGACTCCCGCGCACCTCCTCTGGCGCGCGATCTGCCTCCGCGCGATTCCCCTGGCATTTCGCGCCGCCCCCACCCATTCCGTCGGTCGCGCCATTTGCCTCTGCGCTCCCGCGTTGCCTTGCGCCACTCCCACACACTTCGTCTGTCGAGCGATTTAATCCCGTCGCCTCTCCGCGTTCTTCACGTTTTTCTCCACGACGCCTTTTGCCTGCCTTGCGCATGTCGCCCGGTGAGTGATCTTCTTCCTCGTCCATGGGATCACCCTCCGCCAACTCCTCGCCGTCGGCCTCCTTCGCCAACATCAGCGAGTCCGTCTCATCGGCATCCTCCTGACGCCTTACTCCCGCGCCCCGCTGGCCTCTTGCCCGATCCCAGGGATCGCTCCTTGACGGCTGGGGTCTTGGCGCCGATCTCATCTGCAGACCGAGCTCGCCTTCACCGTGCAGTCCGTCACTGGTCGCCTTCCAATCCGCCCGACCCGCCTCTCTGCTAGGCGAGCGACCTGGCAAACTTCCCCGCTCCTTTGAGCGCATCCTTCGCGACGGCGATATCTCCCGCCGCGAGTACGTCCGCTGCCACCGCAGCTCATGGCAGTCCATACTGCCTATCTGTTTCTCTCGTCTTGTGAGAAGTTTACTCTCCCACAAGATGGCTGCCCACAGTGGCTTAGTCACCTAGCTAGCGTAGCCTTACTGCGGTAACGTTATCCACTATATGAGGCAAACAAGACGAGAGAACAGGTTTGCTATGCTAGGCTAGGCTATTTGTGCTTGGCTGCCCAGTCGCGAGTAACTCAGCGTTCTGGGTTGAGCTCGAGCCGCCTAGGCCTTGGAGTGGCCCTCGCCAGATTTTCTGTCTCCCGAGGTTCCTAAAATTGTCCCTGACGCGCCCTGTAACCCCCGATGCTACCCAACTTCTCGCTACTCTCTATAACCCAACTACCCCACATGCAGATTGAATAACACTCGGTACACCACTTCTACACCTAATTAGCACATGTCTCCAATATGATGCTCTTACCATTATATTTGGTGACAGACTGCGCCAAGACAGCATTTAGGACTAGGTACGGGTCGTTTGAGTACACGGTGATGCCTTTCGGGCTGACCAACGCGCCCGCAACATTTCATATGACCATGAACGAGGCGTTTAGGCCACTCTTAGATAAATGCGTGATAGTTTACCTCGACGACATCCTTGTCTACAGTCGCGACAAGCAGCAGCACTTAGCGGATCTCGAAGCAGTATTTAAAGTTTTAGAGGAACATCGGCTACTCACCTAGGGCTCTAAGTGCGAGTTGTTCCGGGACAGGCTAGAATTTTTGGGGCACCTTCTTTCGGAGGCTGGAGTTGAAATCGACGAAAAAGAAGCTGGGTACGGTGAAAGCGTGGCGTCCCCCGACGAACATCACGGAACTGCAGAGTTTTTTAGGGTTCGTTAATTATGTTCGTCGGTTCGTTCCCGACATGGCACAATTGACCGCCGCGCTGACGGATTTACTGCAAAAGGGGGTCGTTTTTACGTGGGGGGAGAAAGAGCATGCTGCCTTCTCTGCCCTGAAAAATGTTCTCTGTTCACCGCCCGTCCTGCGCATCGCCGACCCACACCGCCCCTTCGAGGTTGTTACAGACGCAAGCGACATCGCCATTGGAGCCGTACTGCTACAGGACTTCGGCAACGGCCTACAGCCCATCGCATACGAGTCACGAAAACTGCATCCGCCCGAGAGAAATTACCCGATACACGACCGCGAAATGCTCGCGATCGTGCATGCGTTCAAAGTGTGGCGCTGCTACTTGACCGGCGCAGACATGACAGTACGGACAGACCACCGATCACTACAGTACCTCCGCGCACAGCCCTACCTCAACCCACGACAGATTCGGTGGCTCGATTTCCTCGAGTCAAACTTCCACTACACAGTCACCTATAAAAAAGTAACCTCGAACATCGCCGACGCACTGACCCGCCCCACTGCCCAGATCCACGGGATACTGTCGGAAAATATAATTTAATATTTTCTATATGTAACTGCTTGTAGGATTGGTTACTGTAGTTATAGCGTTTTCCTATTTGGTGGTGCACCTTTTTTGGTTGTTCTCTCATATTTGTACCCTTGAACCTATAGTGAAACCCTCTCTTCTCTCGACATTCCTCCTCCCACTCGAACTCAACTTCCTACCTCACTAGCTATGGCTCATAAGCCTTGCTAGATTATTGACATGTTATCGGAGTGACCAAGGTCCTGACCTGTGAGCCCACCCTACAGCTACCTACGGCCCCGTCGCCTACCTGCGTCCCCGGCCACGTCACCTACTTGCGGCCTCTGGCCCCTGTCGCCTACCTGCGGCCCCGGCCTCGTCGCCTACCTACGGCCCCGTCGCCACCTGCGGCCCCGCCCACACTTGCGGCCCCGTCGCCCACTTCGGCCCCGATGCCACCTACGGCCCCGCCCACTTGCGGCCCCGACCCCGCCCCGGCCATGCCCCGTCGCCAGCCGCGACACACCGGGGGCACGTGCACCCCCCCCCCCCCCCCCCCTTTTCCCGTCACCCGTCACGGCTCCTTTGGGGGCCGCACGCGGCCCCCTCAGGTCGCCTCGACAGGTGACGGGAGGGGCGACCTGGAAGGGGGGGGCAGGTGTCGCCCCCTCTGCCGCCTGCTTTGGCGCCCGGGGAGGCCGTGCGTCCCCCCCCCCCC